GAGAAAGCGTTTGAGCAAGCCCGTTTCTGCTGGGTGCTCATCAAATCTAGCAAATTCTTGCCCAGGAGGTAAGAATTCTTAGTGAGAGTTTTAATAGAGAGTGACCCGAGTTATGCAAAAGTTTAGAGTAATTGCGAGAACCGACGAACTAACAACGCGTAATCGGATGCAAATAAGGTGCAGTTGAGGAAGTTACAATTTGAGTAGAAATTCTATTTAAAGGGAGGACAAGTTGCAGGACCGTTACATATTTATACTATCAGCAGGATTGTGCCTCAAGAATAGGCAAGGAAGTTTGGCAGTATTTCACGAGTTAATGATTCTTCTTATCATTCGCCTTAAGCTAGATTAAGTAAATTCGTTTAAATATCTGCTTTAGCGAGATATATATTATATGTATTTTAACGAGATATATTATAATAACAGTGGATTTAACCCTAGCTGTTATATTTATGATTCTTCAGTTCTTTACTGATCGTTTGTGTTTGAGTTAATTTTCATCATTTTATAAGTATACAAAAATTATTAAGTGGTTCTTACGGATATTTTAACAAGACGGAAGCGTCATTATAGTGACGCTGTACTTTTCATGTTCTTGTGCTTGCTGTTACTGTTAAAACTTGATCTACAACTAATATTAAAATTAATACTAAAATTAGATGGCTACGACCACAGTGACTATATATACAAGCTGTCCCATAAAGACCGTAATAATACTTACGGGGAGATTTCTGAAATCATTTTGAGATTGAAAATGTAAGAAATTGTAATATCTAAGTATAAGAAAAAAATTTTTTTTAATAATAAATATTAATAATTGGAAATATTTATAATTTTATCTCTGCATATGTTATGTATGTCTTTATATTGATATTAACAAAAGGCAATTAATAGCTTTCGCTCTTAACACTTTGTGTTGTAACCACATCTGAATGTGCAAAAGACGATATGATTTGCTAACTTTAAATGTTTATAATGTCGTTATAGTCTTTACGGGATACTTTGTACATATATATTCACAAATAAAAACTTTTCCTCGTTATTATAGAGAAAAGTTGACAATTCCGACATACATACCATTTTGTTTTTAAACAATATTTCTTAAATAAAAAATAAAACTTTAAAAACATGAACTAAAAAGTGTATTCTATCAGATAGTAAGTAAGCAGTTTTTATAATACTGTTTGCAATTTTGCAATAATTAATTTTTTCGTAAGATAAGCAAAAATGAGCGTCTGACAAAATGAGCAAAACTGACATAGTAGATAGTTATGCTACGTTCTTATTCTTTTTCTTTTACAGGAATTATCTGTATGAAATATCTACAAGTGAATGATATATAAGATTTTCCAGAATCTTTTCATTTCGTTATAAAACATTTTTATTGAATTATATGCACATTTACTTTATGCTGTTTTACAAAGTGCAAATATGTAATATGCGATAGTTTTTCAAGAGCTTTCCATATACGATTGTCTTCAATTCCAATAGAGCCAATTGAGCAATATTATAAAAATTAAGTTAGCTCATGGTTTGTATTACAGACAGGCGTAGCGTTGTATACCAATTTTTAATTTAAAATTGTATTGTGAAAAAACTAAGAGAAAAAAATAATATAAATCAAACTGATTTAGGAAATTACAAGCATTTAGAATGACATAATATTATCAATAATGTAGTTACTGTTATTTAAACTACGCAATTTGCAAAAGAGAAAATCGTAAGTATTTTATTTTTTACATTCATAGAATTTGTTTTTAACTGATTTGATATAGAAATAGGCAACAATATACGAATTATGAGTTTATACTTCTTTAATTAGCTAAACAAATCATGATTTTATGAATATTAATAAAGTGCAATAGTTAGTTTCTAAAATAAGGAGTGTCGCTTTAGGAGACCTACATCAGCGACTTTCCTTTGCTAATTATTAATAAATTTATTGATTATTAATATATGCTAGCATCTATGTACACTGTAAAAAATGTTAATTTTAACTTAAAGACATAGTGGATTTTCTAAGACATGTAAATGTTAAAATTAACACAAAATGTTCATTTTAACATTTTTGCATGTCTCAGAAAGTCCACTATACGTCTTTAAGTTAAAATTAATATTTTTTTTTTACAGTGTATATACTAACTATTAATAAATATTAAATATTATTATAGCTTATTTATTAATATTTCACGCTTGTGTATGCATGTTTTATTTGATTTATCGTTTTATTCTATGTTCTCAAAACTTTATACTTACTGTTCGATTATTATTTTTTCATGTAAAAAATACTTTAATTATTTTCACAAAAATTTACTCTCTAAATTTTTTAAAAGCGGAATCTTACTCTGAAAGCCAATCCTAAAAAAAATTTATCGTAAGATCATAAGCATATTAACTAATCATAGTTGAACATTCTAAAACACAAGACTGCATTTTTAATTGAGATTTGTTTACGGCTTTACGAATTTACGATTAAATTTTTTCTACTTGTAATGACCTTAAAGAAAAGATTAAGCTAGCTTGAAAAAGAGTAACTCAATTTTCAATATTTAAGAGTAACATTTAAAGTAAAATATATTATAGTTTTTAAATTTAAAAATTGACAAATGTACTAAGGATTTATTACAAAAGGTTTTTGGTTCATTAAATTCAAATTCGATATAAAAAATTAAAAATTAAAAACGGCAGATCCAATATGTATATAAATTTCACTCTAGAATTTTTAAAGAATCCTCTAAAAATTTTTTTGATTGCCAAGCGCCTATTGGATCTATCATTTTAAATTTTAAAATTCTGATATCAAATTTAAATTCAACGAATAAAAAAATTTTGTAATATATATAAATTCCTTAATAAATTTATCAATTTTTAAATTGGCATTACGTAGCGAACGAAAAGTCATTATAATGATTTTAAAACAATCATGTTTTGAACAAGAAATACAGTGATATATGATAAGTCTTAGGGAAGACCGGGGTTTCATTGGTTTTTACAATTTCAGCATTAGATTTTAAACAATTCATTATTATGGTTAAAATATATCAATATGATAGAGATAATTTTTCTCTACATTTCATGCCAGTAACGATTCTATACACTGTATAGTTTTTTGCAATAAATGAAATATGGACATGCTGCATTGTAGTTAACTTGCCCTAATATGTGGGATAAATTGGTACATATTACGTTATAAATTGCCCCTATAATAAATTTTATATTAAATTAACAAAAACATAATAGAAAAGTAATAGAAAATTAGAAAGTAGATATGTACTTTTTAATAAAAATTGTATCTTTCAAAGTTATTTTGTAATAATCAAATAGCAAAATGTTACAGAAAAATAAGTGTAAATTATTTTAATTCTACTTCATTTTAATATAGAAATATTACACAAAATATAAAGCGTTTTGACATAGTTAAATTGTAATTAAATGTTAACACATACAGCGACTTAACCAAATCTTTTCTTATGATATGAGTCAGCACTCCCTTCCTATACACATTCGATTTTAATTACTTTATTATAACAAATTATCATTTTTACTCGTAAAAATATTGTATTGTACATTGATAAACACTTTTCTTTTAATAATATATCGCTTAGATTTGTTTTCGCAAGCCGAAGGACATTAATACGAAATGTTCACAAAAATTTACTTGTGCTTTTGAATCAGACTTTTTTTTTTTTCTATTGTAATACTTGTTTGATTTAAATGAAACTTAGAGAGAAGTATCTATATTGTAAAAGAAATGTTTTGTAGTAACTTTTTCATTGTTCCTCATAAATACATAAACGGAACAATGTCAATTTGCCTCTTTTTTATGCCCAACGAGCCCAAGAGTCTCCCTAAAGAAAAGCTATAAGATTTGAATAATAGACCTACTTGCCTTTTAAAGATCTCTATAAAGTATTTGTAAGATTATTAAAAAAAAGAAAAAGATCATACAGACCATTATTTAGCTAGGTGTTTTTAGTATTAAAAAAAAGAAATGCGCAAAATACGAATGATCTATCGTGTGTAGAGAATTAAGAGACTAAAATAATTCATGACCTAAATATGAGAATCGTTAACTTTCAGTCAAAATTTGATATTAAATTAATATACACATATATATTATATATACAAAGTGTCCTGAATTTATATGGTCAAACTTCAGGAGAAAGTGATTAATAACTAAGAAAAAAGTTCTTCAGAGATATATATTCGCTTTTGCTTCGTTTTGGAGAAAATCGCAAAAAAATAGTTTTTGTACTTATTTATTACTTATTCATTCACACTTATTTATTGACATTATTGTCGCTTGCTTAATGCAGATTTCAAAATGTTGGCCTCTTACAGCAATGAACACATTGCATCTTGTATGGATAGTTCGTGTTACAGTCAAACACTCGATCATAATCTCAACGTAATGATTCGTCAATCTCATTCTTCTGTCTGGAATTGGTGTGCAAACATGCGAGAGTACTCTCGCACTGTCTTTAAAGCATTATCGTTAAAGTCGTATAAAAAAAACAATAATATTCTGCTTTAAAAATAATAATATTTCGTACATTGAAAAAAAATATAGTCAATTTTAATTAATATTTAGTTGAATAGTACCAATTAAATATTTATTAAATATAAAGATATATATTTATTTGATACAAGAAATGTTAATTTGTGTGATTTAATAATCTTTTTTATTTACTGAACTGAAATATTTATTTACTGTAAGTAAATGTTTAATTGGCAGTATTGAACTAAATATTTATTAAAATTGACTATACTTTTTTCTTAATATAAAATTACGTTTCTGCGATTTTCTTCAAAACGAATATATCTCTGAAGGACTTATTTTTAGTTTATTGATCCCTTACGCACTTCCGAAGTTTGGCCATTTAAATTCGTATATTTAAATTCATATATGTGTATATTATGTGTGTGTGTGTATATGTGTATATATATATATATATATATATATATATAATATAGATAAAATATATATACATATATATTTTATCTCAAAACATATGATTGCGTGCCAATTACATTCGGACTTTCAATACAATCACTCTGAAATATTAATAATCCCTCTCCCCCCCTCAAATTTAAATAGATAGATCTTAAAAGAATTCTTTGTAAAGAACTCTGTAAAACGATTTAAGTGTTCACATCACGTATTATGTGTATCTATCAATATATTACATTACAGCGGATTTATATTTCAACTACATCACCAATATTTCATGGTATTTAAGGACTTTGCGAGGATTTTAAGTTTTGTTGTTCCTTTCTTTGGATCGTGGATCAAAATTTCTTTGTCCTCTTCGTTCCTGAAAAAAATAAAAGTAGATATATAAGATTTTTATTATAATGAGATAATGTGCAGTTTTCTAATTCATATATTTATATATGATTTATTATTAGAAATTTATGTAAGGTTAAACTCACAAATTTAAGATCACCAATACGGTACCACCATCAGGCGTGGAAAATGCAATGTTTCGCATATTCGCGATATGCTGCGATTTTATGCCAATTCTCTTGCTGCCAGGTGGGACATATCTATTTAAGAAAAACGCTTAATTAATAGAAATATTGGTAAAACACAGTAGACAGATATTAAATGTAACTATTTTACAAATTATTACGTTTTTACGAGTTTTTACAAGTTAGGTTTTATGTAATGTTATAAGTATCAATTGAGGTACAAAGGTATAGTGTACGGACTTTGAAAAATGTCCAATTGCATAGAACATCGGTTGTTTATAGAATTCATTGGCAGTGCTGTTGATTATTATTGGAGAATCAACAAAATTGTTGATCCAATTGGGTCCACCATTCGTATCTAAAGCAATGTTCCAGTCGATCCAAGCGGACACCCAGTGCGACATAGTTTCGATGATATTCGCTGCGTACAATTCGGCACGTTTCCACGATCCCAGTATCACTTTTTGCTCTATAAATAATTATATATTATTCATTAAAGACATGCATACGATAAATTTTAGCCCTTATTTGTACTTCATAAAAACCATTAGAGTAAAGCGATGTTTAATAGAGATACGTTAACAGAAATTTTCAAATTGTATAAAATATTGAGGTTACACAGTGTATTCAATTAAAATTATTTAAAACATACAAAACATATATTGATGCAATAGTTTACATTTTGTATGTTTAACGAAATATACTATATGTGATTAAAATTGAGCAATATTCAGAACACCGTAACTCGGTGAAAAATCATTGCAGACGAACAATCAAAAAAACATTTGAAAGCTTAAAATCTTTACTTTTTTGAAATCAGTAATTGATATGTCAATCTGACTGATTCTTTACGGAGGTACATAGACACAAGTGGATATCCGTCAAATCTGAAAATTTTGTATTATATAAATTTTACGAAAGTTTCTGGCGTGAAATAAAAATTATATAAAAATGCGGTTTACAAAAGAGTGAATCTTTACCTTCAATTTGCTTTTCATCGAATTATTCAACATTTTTTTTCACCAAGTTATTCGAGAGTTGTAGCAAAAGTGATCATCTTTGCTTCAATAACTCAGTGAAAAAAAAATCATATAATGCTTAATAAAAAAACAAATTAAAGGTTCAAGATTACTTTTTCGATTGCTATAAATTTTTATGTGATTTTTACTTCAAGCTATAAATCTTTGTAAGTTTGTACAAAATTTTGATATCCATTATCGATTTCAAAAGTACAGATTTCAAGTTTTCAAATTTTTTTGATTGTTTGTCTGTGATGATTTTTTATCGAATTATGGTGTTCCGAATATTGCGCAATTTAGAACGTGTTCGAAAGTGTTTCTTATTTTTTAATGAGTAATATATAATTATATACGTTTTAAATGTTTATATGTTATATATGTTTATATATGAATATTATATATTTGTGCATGAAAATTTTTTATTCATTTTTTATCCAATTTTTTTATCGGTTTATAATGATAATTTCTGTCTCTATGTAGAAAAACTTGTAAAAATAAAACGATCTTCGAATAGTTATGAAAATATCTAAAGTATCCACTTTTACGAGGCTTATATTTTTTGTTTTTAAATGAAAAAAAATAAATCCATAATAAACATATATATAAACATGCAGAATTCTTTTTTGTTTTGATATTACAGAATAAAACTTAAAGCAATAAAACTTAGCAAAAATTTTTATAAAAAATTGTTATAAAAGGTTGTAAAGGATTAGGAGGAAAGACATATTTTTAACATATACATGTCCCATGGGTTGTTGAAATTAATCAGCTATTTTTAAACGCACATAGAAATAAAAAAATAAAATATTTTTTAATAGAGGACATTTGGCGGTTTTATTTACATGTAAAGTAAAAACGATCGAACATATTTGTATCATTTAATTAAATGTTTGTAAAAGTACTAAATATCATTAATCTCAATGACATGTATTTTAGAACATTTAAAAGAATTTTATTTAACATTTCTTTTATCAAGAGAGATGTTAAATTTCCGAAATATATATTATTACGATTACCAATATTTGACATTTTTATAAACATTTGTTAAATGACATAAGTATATTCGATTGGTTTTACTTTACATGTAAAACTAACAAAGTCTTCTGTTAAAAAATACCTTAGTTTTTCTATTTTCTACGTGTAAAAATGATAGTCTAGTTTAATTTTAACAACTTGCTTTGAGACATGCTGTATTATGTATCAAAAAATACAAAATAATTGAAAAATATAAAATCAAAAATATAAATAGTAGAGAAATTTTGTGTTTAATTTTGTTGTCAAAACTACTAGTTTCATCAAAGAAGCAAAAAAAAATTAATATAAAAATGAAAACAGAAATCTTTACCAACCTTCGAAAACTCCAGCGCAAGCTTCCGTGTATAATATTGACTGCTCTGGAAACAGCTTTTTTATTTCATCCAAGACACTCGGACTGATAAAATGATCAAAATAAAAATGGACCGCGGTTCCAGAAACAATATCTCTTGCTCTTTTATCTTCAAATATTGTTTTTGGCCAATCAGGAATCGATAGTCTGGTATCATCCAATATGAAGATCTTGATATGTTCGAAATTATTTTTCTTTAAGGTTGGCGCCAAGTAATTGATAATCCAGTCACGTTCTTCCTCGGCTGTCCATGCCATTGCGTTGATAGACATATTATTACTTAGCGGAATATACTTGTAATTTTCTGGTTCATTCTGAGGCGTTGTAGCCCAAAATTCTAAACCATTATGACGATAAGCCTTGAAAAATCTATAAAAATATAAAATGATTTATAAAATAATATGTTTCAAATATCTCGGGAAATTTTACGTAATTGTAACGTTGTTTCATATATATGAAAATGAATCGTGCAGTGTAGTAGCAAATCAGAATATTTTGATTAACTATTATGAAAGAGAATAAGGAGAATATAACTTAATAAAAATATTTTAACGGTAGTTACTTTACGAAATAATCTGCCCATAGTTGTCGATATTCTGGACGTAATTTAGTATCAATCGTCCAAGAGTTCTTAGTTTTCATCCATGGACTGGCGCTCCATGGTGCAGTCAACAACTTAATTTTCCCTTTTTTTATTTTTTGAGCTCGCTTTATTATCGGTATCTATTGATAATTAAGATTTCTATTAATAATTTAATAAATGTATATACATTGTGTATATATTGTGTAATTGATAATTATATTATTCACTTAAGGATCGACGTTTTGGTTATTTCTAACAGTATCAGTTAAACAATTAGTCAGAAAAAATTAATATCAGACAATATCATTTAAAAAATTATGATACTTTTAATTCGTGAATACGCTTATATTTTAATTATTATATAAAAAGACAAAACAAATAATTTGAATTATAATAATTGGTGCAGTTTTGTTATTTGCTGCAGTTTTATCAATAAAACTATTATAAGTCTTTTAACTTTTAACTTTTAAACGAGTAAGTGAATCCAAATAAACTTTTATATAGATATTTATTATTGTTTTATTATCGGTTCTTTTTTTTTTTTTTTTTTAGTATATACAGACTATTCTCGATTTAAACTGTCAAACTTAAAGCATAGGATCTGAAAACAAATAAAATTTTCCTCTGAAAATTTGCTTACAAATGTTTTATTTAAGAGATAATAAATAATGTCGAAATATTTTAATTTCGTTTGCTTTGAAGCAAAAAGCGTATGAAGTACCTGTTATTGACTTTTAATCACGAGGAATAATACAAGTATGTGAAAAAATTATGCACAATATTATTAATCAGTCAGTCGATCGTTCTCTTATTAATAGATACAATATTCTTCTAATAGCTGAAAGCTATTATTATAAACAGAACATTCAATAATCACATTTTGATTATTATAAAGTATTAATGGAGATAATTTAGGTTATTTTGACATTATTCATTCCTATTATAGAACTGTAATTTAAGAAGTCTATATTTTTTAAATAATTTGACAGTAAACTTACAGAGAAAAATTTTGTTTGTTTCCTAAATTTATTTTTGGCGGTTTGACAGTCCTATACACACACACAAACACACACACACACACACACACACACACACACACACACACATATAAATGTTACTTCTCAAATTTGTAAATAAGTATCATAAAAGCAATTTTACATAAGAGAGAGACAAAAGAAAATTGTCAAGACAAATAAAAAATTAAATAACTTTTAAATTAATAAGAGAGTTGGGCTCAAATTTTGCACAGATATTCCGACAAAATGGCGGAACAATTTGAAATTTGTATATTTTTGGTTTTTTGATGTGACACATCCTTAATTTTAGAAATACAAACACATTTTCTTTGATATGCCTATCGATATCCGAAAAAAATGAACTATTTGTCTTATCAGATATATAAACAGTTGAAATATTAATCAATAAATGACTAACCTTGAAAAGATTATCCTCTACTTGTAATTCGAAGTGTTGAAGCGAAGTATCATTTTCTACCATTGCATAAGTGTAAGGTCTCATTGAGAAATCACAGCCACCCATGGGCGTTCTTATGAAATTGTAATTGATACCATGCGGACCAAAGTAGCTTCTAGAAGTTGAAAATTGAACGTGAAATTAACTTTTAAGAGAAGTCGCTACGAATTTTCTAGATATGTTAACTGTGTTGAATGAATTAGCAAAATTCTTTTGAAATTAAATTGTTGAAATGAAATTGAATTGATTTTCATGTAATTCATTATACCTCAATAAGTGCTCGGATACCTCGAGCGTTAGTTCATGAATGTTCATAGCCGCTGAATCAGTTACAGCCCCACCAAATCCATAGATTTTTTGGTATACGTCTTTTCGATTTATAGTGATCTTTCCCAATGGAGCTGATTCTATATTACAAGGCATTTGAAATATAATTGTACACAAATTTGAATTGAAGGATACTAGGCTACTTTAAACCTACTCGGATAGTCTTTTAGGCCGGTATTCATAGTTTGTTCTTATCAAGATCGTTTTAAATAATATCTTAAAATGCTAATACGGTTTTCTGATTAGTTCGTGACATCTTAAGACTGTACTTAAAACAGTTTTAAAAATCAACTATGTGAATACCGGCCTTAATGATGTTTTAAGAAAACAACTTCAGTACTTACTGCCATTCAATTTATACGTTTTGTATATACCGTTTGATACGTTAAAGAGCAAACCACTTTTGCTGGATGTTATTAGGAAATATTTAAATCTATTGGATGTCCTGCTCACGTTCGGAGCTTCGTCGCAGTACGTCATATTGCAAACGCAATAATATCCATCATCTCCGCTTTCGTCTCCAAACTCCAATCGGCGTTTGATTTTGCAGCCATTTATTGACTCAACTAAAAAGAGTCCATCAAAAAGTATACTTGATTAATTGCTTCACCATTACCATTATATTATGTACGCATTTTCACATTTCTTTGCATTCTATTATTTTAATGGAGCTTCTATGGAAATTAAACGGATGACTTTATGCCAGTACATACACATACATATATAGATATCAATACATTCTAAAATTATTAAATAAAATGGAAAATTTTGCCACGTTTTTTGCATATCTTATACAATATTTTTAGTTTCGGAAAGTAAAGACATTCACATTTTTGTAAAAAAAATTGTGAAAATATAATAAACCCTGAATAAAATATATAAAACTGTGTTTAATTGTAATTTCCTTGATATGAACAATTAATTTTATTATTAAAATATTATAAAAAGTATTATGACAGTATATTAATATAAAAGTAAATTATTGTAAATTATTAAAATATACAATAGAAATATGCATTGATAGAAATAGAAAATTGCAATATAGATGAAACTATGTAAAGAAATTTTCAACTTATTTTATTCTGACCATTATTGAATATGTATGACTATATTAACTATTTTGAATATGTACGATTGAGCATCACCTAATTATCGTAAGAAATTAGAAAGATCAAAATATATTTTAATATGTAGCTTGATATATGTATAATATATCATTTTTATAACGAAACCTTTTGTGTCTATAAATATCTTTCCTTGAGACCAAATGTTAAAGAATTTACAAATTGATAAAATATCAAAGAAAATTTATTATCTTTAAAATAAAATTAAAGAATAATGTAAAGAAAATATTTCAGAAGAAGATAAAATTTAATATTATTTACATTAAATAAGAATACATTAACAAGCCAGTTTTTTGCATATGTTGCAGTGAAGTTAAGATAATAAAATGCAAATTTCAAATAAATTATCAGAAGACATAGATCTCTGGTATTAAGTTATCAATTATTATATTTTTTCACATTTATATATGATATAGTTGATTTCGAGACTTTATATAATGAAAAAAGAGTCTGATTATAGCCACCAAATGTTGAATGAAATAATTTCAACTAAATATTCATATAATATAACAATTTCATTTTTTTAATATTTAATAAGTATTATCGTTGGTAATATTTACTAAATGTTTATAAAAATAAAATTATGTTTAGTTATATTATCTGAACATTTGAAATTATTTTATTCAACATTTAGCTATAACCAGATTCTCTTTTTAGAGTATATTTCTTTCTCTCTCGTTTTTTTTTTGCTTTTAGATCTTTTTATTTTTATTTCTATTTTTGTTTTTATATCTATGTTTAATTTTTACTACTTTTATGTAGTTATAATTATTCCTTGTATTTTCTCTCTCTTTTTTTCATCTGTCTTACTAGATGGGGTGAAAAGTAACCTCCTTGACCGTCAGAATGCGCCACTACTGCAAAAAAGTTTATGGTGCCTTGTAGTCCGTTCATATTTAGGCAGACATGCCAAGTGGCAGTGCGATACTGCCCTTAGTTTTGTTTTGAGAGCTGATTGTTGTTGACGTGTTTGCGAAAACGATTTTCGTTCTCTCATAAAACATTATTTTTTGAGAGGCAAAACGGCGAAGGAAACAAAAGAAAAGTTGGATAAATATTATGTGGCTAATACTCCGTCAGATTACACCGTCAAATATTGGTTTCGAGAGTTTCGTGGTGGCCGCAACTCCACTACCGATGAAGTCCGCAGCGGCAGGCCCTCCGATGCGGTTACCGAGGAAAATGTCAAAAAAATACATGAAATGGTGTTGGCTGACCGGAAAGTGAAGGTGCGCGAGCTAGCAGATGCTACAAAGATTAGTACTGAGCGAACACGCCATATTTTGGGCGAGATTCTGCATAAGAAAAAAATTTTTTTCATTCCCAAGGAGGTTACTTTTCACCCCACCTAGTATATATTAGCACCTTACATAAATTTTGATAGCTAATTCTGATAAGTGTAATTTTATTGCGGATCTGATAATGCTACATAAATGAAATTCATTTATATATTATGTTAGTTTATATGCAACAGTATTCTATGATGTAAATTGTAATTATGAAAACAATGTTTCATAATTCATATAAAATATTTGTGATATATGCATACAATCAAAATGTTTAAAATTTAATTTAAAGATCTTATATTTTTCAATAATTTAATTGTTTTTGTTCTATCTGTTCATTTTTATATTAATTAAAAAATTTTATTTTTCTTAACTAAAAAATCTTTAAAAAATTATATTAGGTGTTGGAATTAATTCGTAGCGTTTTACAAGTGATGGGAAGTACTTTCATTAATGTATTTTTTAATGCTCATGTGAAATAAATAACATTCTTTCATTAAAAAACGCTACGAATTAATTCCAACACCTAATAAAATTTTATTTAACAATGAAAATATAACATTTGACAACCTTGTTTACCATTAGTAAATCGAGAAATATTATATTATTAAAGCTTCTTCCAGAAAGTTTGCACAGCTTTTGGCAATCAGTAACTTAAAAAATTAAATAGAAAAGTTTCTAGAGTTGATTTAAGACTTACGTATTACTGACTCTCATTTTACAAAAAATATATTCTTAAATTTTTATTAAATATTTCCTGGAAAATAATTAAATTTTTAATTTAATGCCACTCATTAATTTTTACATTGTAAACTTTCTTATATTTTTACCTTATAAATTTCCGAAATGTTTCTATATTTTCTGTAATTTTCCTTTTTTTTAAAGCGTCTGTTTAACACGTGGCTATTATCGATCTATAAGACATAATTCATGAATATTACAATAGAAAGAAACATTTTGTTAATAAATTAGACATTGTTCGCTGAAAATCAGTTTGTTTAGCAAGTGTAGAATAAACGTTGTTAAATTGGATGAAGAGAGGATCTTAGAATTTTCTTGAGAAAAATATGTATAATTATGGATACGATTCTTTATACGTAAATAATGTTTGTTGTATTTTCATAAGAAGTATGTTTTTTTTTCACTGTGATAAATTGCTTGTCATGCAAGAATTTTTTGATCCAATTTTCCAATAAAAATTAATTTTTTAGATATAATGACAATATAAGCAATGAGAATTATTCTCATTACTTGTGTTGTTATTTTTAATATCGAGAGTCCATTAATTCATATTATTTTAATTTTTTAGAATCAGGAATTTCGTTATTTTGGTTTAACTGCTCATCGCAATTTGCCTCCCTTGCTATCAAAGTTTAAAATGTTTTATTATTTTTTGACCAGACGTGCAAAATTCTTGATCTTATATTTCAAAGTTATTATATTAATTATTATTAGAGAAGAGAGAGAGAGAGAGAGAGAGAGAGAGTTGCTAGAAAATAAACGAAATAATAAGTGAATAATAATAACATTGAGATAATTAAATAATCCAAAAATCTATTCTATTAAAGACTTTTCCAGACAATATGGTTAATATAATATTATTAGGTGTTGGAATTAATTCGTAGCGTTTT